AATATTGAAGGGAGCTATCTGGCAGCAAATTCAAAGCAAAGGTATTTTTGATGTAACTCATAATTAAATATGGAAATTTGTCATAGGATCTTGTGAAAACTGAAGGTTTTTGCTGGTTCAAAAACTACTGGAAAAATACTTTGAGGGTGGCCTTATAAATAAGGCATTATCTCAGGCTCAAAAAATCCCTGAACTGCAAATAGCTGGAGGCAGGCAGAATAATACTGAGGAAATATCCCTGTGTGTGCCTTGTTTACAGTCATCTCTAGACTCAAGCTCTTGGTTGTTGTTGTGCAGAATTTGGGGCTGTAGGGAGCTTCTGGTGACCTTTCCCAAGTGATGTCCTTCTTTCTTCCCTGTTTGCAAGCTGCAGAATCATTAAATTAATATTTAAAGTTTGATATGTTAGTTCAAAATTGTTGGAAGGTATTGAGATCCCATAAAGAATTCACTTTCCTGTGATTTTAAGATTTTTAGCATGCTTGCTGGCTTCACCACTGATTGATATATAAGTGTATAACAGAAGAATAGCAAGCTGAATTCCTTGTAAAGCATCAATACTGTCATTGAGGCAGACTATACAAATGGATATTTTTAATGTCTCACAGTGTCAGGAATATTGAAGAATGCTGGGGAATGTCTTTCTAGAAGTGAATACATCCTATCAAATGGAACTATTTAGGTAACTGTAGATCCATGAATTTGATTTGAAAAATTCATGGAAAAAAAAAAGAATGGAAAAGCTAACAGGTTCGGTTAATTGAGATTTAAAGTGTGGAGGCAGCCCTTGCAGGACCTAAAAGTTGGTCCAGGACCAGGTATCACAAAGAAAGAGGAATGAGCTGAGCAGATGTCTGTCGAGGCTGTTGGGCTGCAGGTTGAGTTGCCAGGAACATGCAGTTGCATCTGCTGTAACAAAGCTTCCTTTTATGTAGATGCTGCTCTATATCAGATCCATCCCAAAGAAGTTTATATCTGCCAGTTTAAAATGTTTGTAAAAAATATAAATATTTATATATATGCCAGTATATAAATGTATGTAGGCCCTCGTGCTTCTGTTTTAAATCAGAGTTTGTACTTATAGAGGCCTGAATGTCTGCTCTGTGCATTTTCACTGTTGTCATATACTGGTTTTGTGTGAACTGGCTCTGCTTATTTATTAAAAAACCACAAACAAACAACCTCCAAACAAACATTCCCCCAACCAACCAAACAAAAAACCCCAAAAAACAACAACCCCCCCCCAACAAGCAAACAACAAAAAACTGCACAACAACAACAAAAAAACCAAAACCATCAACTCTCTATGTATGAATATATATGAAAAAAATGAATACTTAAAATCATAAATACTTTAAAGATGAAAAATACTTTAAAGATGAAAAAATAGATATATATGAATGTAACCAGTATCAGTCAGGTTGGCTTTTTGAAATATAGCTCTTTCCACCTGGCTGGCAGTACTGGATAATACAACCCTCATGTATTTATAGTGCAAATGGTTTGAAGTGTTTTAATGCCTTTTTTCTCATTACAGTAATTTTTGGAGTCAGGGGATTATTTAATGAAGGGCTTGAGAGAGATGTAAATGGCCGTGGTGAATTTTGTGTTCCTTTGTAACTCCAGGTGAAATAGATTTACTGCATCAGTAAAGAGCATAAGTTCTGGATTTTGCTCCTTACTTTCTATTAGCTTATATAAGTTCTTTTAATGAGAGGATGGAAGTGTAAATGTATGTTTTACCTGTACTATAGTGGTCTTGATAGACGTGAACGTGAATGCAGAAGACAGGCCAACAGCTCAGCAATACACGTATCTCCAAGTCTGAGCTCCTATTTGTGGATTTCTTTTAGCTGATAGCTGCCCAGAACAGGCAGTTGGCACTTTGGTTTGTGTCTAATTCGGACGATTTTAAAAAGACTTATTAAACCATACCTTACCACTTCAATATTTGTTACTTGTAGAATTAATTGGGAAGGGGGTCGCATATGTATGGACCACATGTGCCATTTGCTAAGCGGATGTTTTGTTTTTGGGCAATTGCCTGTTGTTATTTTGTGATGTGGTTTATTCATTTCACATACACTAACAACTCAATACAGAGTGGAAATGAAAAGATATCCTTAGTGATCCTTAAACAACTGATTATGATAAAGGTGGAAAAATAAATATTGACTTACTGCCTTCAGGTGATATGATTTTACAGAATTGTATATTTTGGAAAATATTTTGTCACTCTTGGGCACCCAGTGTGATTCTTGGGAATGGTCCTGTACAGGGGAAGTAGTTGGACTCAGTGATCCTTGTCCAACTCAGCATATTCTGTGATTCTTTGATATGTATTTCTGGTTTCATGGGAGATTAGGTTTTGGAACTAATAATAAGCTGTTCATTTAGTTAATACATCCAAATACTTTGAGGATAAGTGAGAGAAATAATGCACTTAAAAATAGCATTTGTCTTGATGACTTAAAAATATTAATGAATACATCTGAAAAAATCCACCTTTCAAAAATATTACATATTGAAAAAAATATTAGTTGTATCCAGTTCTTCTTCCTACAAGTAAGCTTTCCACTTGTTCTTAGCCCTGTCATATTTACAACAGAGTTAATGCAGTTCTTAAGTCACAAAGCCTTAAGTGCAGTTCTCAGTTCAGAAGTTTCTAAAACACAAGCTTTTGAGTAAGCTTTTTGAGATCTTTGAATAATCACCTGATTTTTCTTAAATAAGGATGTTCATTAGCTGGCATATTTACAGTTTGGAGTGTTGTTTTTTTTTGGGGGGGGTGTTTGTTTGTTTTGTTTTATTTTTAAGCCATGGTAAGCAGTATCTTTTACAAAAGAGAAGGCAAAAAACTCAGAAAACATTCAAGTTAACAAAACTTGTAGTGTGACAGCAGTACTTTGTGACAAAAAAGCTGAATTCCAGTTCTTATTTTTCTTTCTTTTTTAATATTCAACTCTAAACCACATCTAGCAGATACAAAGCTGTCTTCTGAAGTCAGCTGACAGAAGCTGTATTGCATTTGCTGCTTGTTGCAAATATTATTGACTTATAGTAGGCTTTGATGGTTCAAGGTATGGAAATTGTCAGCTGGTTCTATTGAAACTTACAGCCATATTATTTTAGTTTATATTGTACAGAACCTGCTTCCTCACTTAGGATTTTTTTCCCTGTTCTGTTGGATGTGAGACATATTATCAGTGCATGTTGTATAGGAGCTGTGGGGAGGCAGGAGGAATTCTTACTGGATCAGGGTGATATGTGAAGTGAGACATGGGAAAAAATAATTGAGAGAAAAAGAACAGAAACTGGGGAAATACAGAGTGCTGGAACCTGTCAACAACAAAATGGCTGAGTTATGGGTGCACTAGTAAAAATTCCATCAAGTTCTCATTAAATACAGCAAATGGGAAAATGAGAAAGGGTTAGAATAATAGAAATGTCTTTGCCTGTATTAAGCAGAAGACTTAAGTATGCTTAGAGAAATGGGTTTTCCCCCTGCCATGACAGTGGAAAGTGTGACTAGTAGAACAAGTTTCAGATATATAAAGTATACCACATTAATATGCATGAGGTGACCTCTTTCTTGCAGAAGTTGTTTTACATATCCTGCCATTATTTTGGGAGTATGTTGTTGACTCCTCATACTACGATGAGCCTTGTCTCATATCAACTTGAGTTTTTTAGTCTCATACTATTCTACAAGTCTTTGGCAAGTAAGTTCAGTTTTCTAGCGCTTGCTAGAATTCTTTGTACATAAATGAAGGGTTCATAATGGGTATTTGTGAATGGCAAATTAGTCTGCCTTTAGCGACCATCAAGCAAGAGAGATATTGCTTTAGTAAGTTAGCAAAACATAAGAAGAAAAAAACCCAGAAAGAACTGAAGGTTATATTAAATAAGAATATCATATAATCAGATGTCCTAAATAGAAACAAGGGAAGTAATACAGAGAGAAGTAGAAGAGGTACTTAAAACAATGCTAGAAGGAATATTGCATCTTAATAAATAGAAAAAACAGTGTGAAAACAATAAAAGACAGTAGTAGCAAAGATGTAGTTTTTCAAAGCTGCTATTGATTACAGAATTGACCAGCGTGATAATATAAATGGTATGTTCAATGATGTAAAATTCTTAATGTTTTGTGAATTTCAAGAGTTAGGGGAGGTTTTTGTATCTGAGCAAATGTATTTTTCTCTATGACTTCTAAGTGTAATTTTTTGATTAAAAGGTATAGTGTTCATTTTTCAAGCCCTAATAGATGGTAGAATCTTATTCTGAAATCTTTTGCATGCTATTTTCATGCAGAATTCATGTCTATGTGGTTCACATGAATGCTGTAAATGAGGGAAAAAATGACATGACATGCACCTTCTTTTTTATAGTTTAACTTGGGGATGGATGTCCAGTGTTCTTAGTGACACTCTGTAAACAGTACCTTGGGGTGCATTAACATGGTGCTGTTTCCTCACTGTGCTGTAGGTTTGCCTTTCATAAATAACTGATCAACACTTTTAGCTGTATTTAATATTCTTTATATAAACAGAGATTTATTATTCTGTAATAAAAGATATCCTCTTACATCTGCTGCTGTGGTGCAAAATGTTGTTTGCTTTGCCAGATTAAATAGATAATGAAGTGCAGTAAATGTTTCGTGGTACTATTAACAGAAGCATGGCTTTTAAAAAATTATTTCTTAAACGACCATGCATGGAAATATGTATTAAAATATTTTAAAGGGTTTAAATCCTAGGAAATATTTCACTCTGGTATAACTCAAGAGATCATTTAAGAGTTTTTCCTTTGAAAAACCTTAGCATCAAAAGAGAGATGTTATTTTTACAGTATAGGAAATCTAAGAACATCAAACATCTGACATTAAAAAATTTAAACTTCAGTGTTAGTATAAAGAATTTGAAATTAATTGATTTATTTTTAATACATTAAAGTATATGTTGATGTGATAAGCAATCAAATATGAAATAAAAACTTACCTAGGAGATACTTGATTGAAGCTTTGTCTGTGCTCTGTCAGAATATACTGAGACTCACTCAGCAGATAGGAAGCTTTTTTCTATTTGAAATGCATTGTGCACTCTCGTCTTGTGATTTCTTTTTCACAGCGTCTTCTTGTTCACTGCTGCTTTGCTCTTGTGGTATTGGTTGTTTCCAGTTTATTTCCAGGTATCTTCAGTATCTGAGTTCCTCTACATTCAGGATTTTTGTTAATTCTGCCCTGCTCAGGTAACAGAAAGGACCTGTGAACTTTGCATCTTTCCCTCCCAACCAAAAAACATATTAAAAAAAGGCAAATGCACTGGCCCCAGTCAACTCAAGTATTCAGCACCCATCTAAAAAATAATTTAAGTATTTGCTATGCAGTAAATTCCATCTGTTTTCTGTTGCTATTCCAACACTGAAAAGTTATTTCCCTTCACATTTTGGTAGCCTTTGCATTTTAGATTTTTGTAGGAAATATACAGCATCAGTAGACATCAGATCTTAACTTTTAATCCATGCAACATTATTCTGTGAAGGATGATGAAGGTCTGCCTCTCTCAGCTCCTCATGCTTCTGTCAGACACAGATGTGAAATGCTGCTTTAGAGAGTGGGGGGAAAAATTCTAAAGGGTGTAGTGTTTTGTCATCTCTCAGGACAGTAAGCACGCATGGCATGAATGAGTGGCAGATATGAGCTATTCAAACCAGTCACTGAACTGACAGGATGACACTTTCATGCATAATAGAACCATTAATTATTTCTTCTGATGGACGGCAGTGTGTACTAGAAGAAAAAAGCAGCAGAGGATAATACTGGGTTTGATAGGTTCTCTGTGTTTTAACAGCTTGTCATTAAGAAACAAACCAGGAAAAAGCCTGCTGTTTTGGGATATGATCAGGTAAAACAGACCAGAGCTGTTTTGACAGGCTGGGTGTCATTCATAGGGTTAAAAACTCCAGGCAGGTTAAGGTCTATTCAAAGCTTGCTTTTTATAAAAAAAGATGTTCTAATGGATCTGCTTTAAAAATCATGGTTTGTGTTTTGCTTCACGTAGCCTTTCATTTGGGGAGCCTGACCGTTGTCTTGTAGGTTTTCATTTATAATTTAATTTATAGGTTAAACCCACACATTTCTTTTTTTTTTCCTCTGCAAAAGGAAACTTTAACATTAAAAAAACCCGTTTTTTAAAAGATCCTCTGCATGAAGAATATGCTCAAACTCATCACACACTTTGTATTATAGACACTCACAAATCCATTTCTAATTAATTTAGAAATTTAAATTCTGTGATTTAATGTTGAGGAACTGCTCTCTCAAGGCTAATATGGAAAAAATTAATATATTTTGAAGAACTCACTTCAGTGTAGCATAAGCCTTCATAAATATAAAGTATGATGGATAAAAATCTTCATTCACGGTATCAATGTTGTTAAGGGCAACGTATGATGATTGTGGGGAAAATAATGCAATGTTTAGAACTTTTCCTCAAAATAGAGAGGTTTTTTTTCCTCGCAGAATCTTCTTTAGTGTAACTTTTCTTTTTAAATTTATTGATAAGAAAATATCTGCAATCAATTTATTTCTCTTTTTACTTTCTATACCTTGAAGGTGAAGAAAAGATAAGATGATGACTCCTTTAAAACCAGGGTGAAATATAAACCCCACCAAAAAGGTGTTGGGAGAAAGGGCTGCTTCTGCTGGTTTGTACATGTTTACTCTAAGTATGAGGAACTTATCTCATCACTGAAGAGGAAAACTTATCTTCATCTTCCTTATTATGGAATGATGGAGAGCATCTGGATAAAGCTTCTTCTAGTTTATCCAGTCAAAAATCATGAGCACTATTATGCCCTTATATCCATCAAATAACTTCTGGAATATTTTTGGTCTCTAGCTTGTATTCTATCTAGCTCCAGACCAAATCCAAGCCTAGAAATATATGATGCCTGTAACTTTAAATCTAAGTTGTCAATTTTGTCTCTTTAGATAACAAGTCGAGTTGCCAAGGATACAATGAGTAGATGATATAAAGTCCATGCTGAAAGTACTGGAATGAGGCATACTTTCTGAAATAATATTAACACTTTCTCTCTCATTATTTCTGTCTTCACATACACAGTCCGTGCATGGAGTTGGTGCCCAACCCGAACTGAAAGTGTCCTAAATTTATTACTGTATTTCATAAAAGTGTTGATTCTTGTGAAAACCTTGCAAGTAATTGGAATCTGACAAGGCACAACCTATATTCTCAGATAAACTTCTGGGAGACAAACAATAGCCTGGTCTGCTTCCCCCTTTGCAAATCCCAAAACAGAGGACTCAAATATCCCCTGTGATTATCCCCTGAAGAAGCCCTGAAGAACAAAAGAATTTATACATATATGTATCTCCCACTTTTTTCCCCTCTTCAGGACAAGGTAAACTGAGCTATGTGTGTGTTAGTATCAGAAGTATTCTGCTGTCTCACATCTGGAGATGAGGATTAGGATAACTTGGATGAAGCAGCATGTTAACATTTAGGGCGTGACAATAATTCTGACATCTTGATGTGCAACTTTAGTCTGGGATAACACATGATTGGTGTTAAGAATTCAAACACTGAAGATGAAGGTGGTTAAAATTTTCAACCTTGAATATAGCACAAAGAATTGTATTTTTAGCGTGGTGTTCTGAAAATCTTTTCTGTTTGGTCAATCTGCAACAGGAATAAGTTATATATAAGCTGCATGACTAAAGTAGATATGTAACATCTGTGGTGGAGAATGTTGCTGGTATGACTGAAGTAGCAAAAGCTTCAAGCATCACCCCTGAGCACTCCAAAGGGCCTCCATCCATCTTGTGACTGGATAGCTACTGTGTGACGGGCAGTGCTGCACTCGGGGGCTACTTCCTGGCAGAGCTGGGTTATCTTGGACTCGCGGGGTGGCCTGATGAGGGACTCCATGTCCATGAATAACATCAGCTGACATGAAGTTCTCACACCTCTAGCCAGTAGTAAGGAATCACAGGGCCCTGGCTACATCCCTCTACTTTGTTTCATTTGGACGTGTTGTCTACTGCATAACTTTGTGACAGCCGAAAAGTTAACTTTGTAGCGAGGCAAAAGTTCTGTACTTGGACAGACTTCTGTTTCAGTTCCTATTTTTTGAGTGGTTTTATGCACAAAAAGCTACTACGTAGCTTTTGTTAACAATAGGTTGAAACTGCACCTGAAAATTTGATCTAGGGTGAATAATGTACTTGCCTGCTTTAAGAAGAGTGCTTTTTAAAAGTTGTATAAGAAGTGAGCAGAATGCTTTCTGAAAAACATTTTGCATTTTAAGTGTGAGCATTTGATTTGAAAGCTCACTGAAATTTCATTTCAATCTCACAGTGATATTTAATATTTACAGTATCAAAATGGGTAGCTTTGCAAATAGCATTAAGCCATGTATTGTCTGTGTTAGTCCATTCACGATTAATAATTATGGGTTCTTCAAATCCTAAAGGCCAAATATTACCCCCACTGTATGAAAGTAATTCATCAAATATATTGGAAAAAACATTTTTCTAATAAGACTGAGTGATCGGTAAAGCTGTATCTTAATGAACCATTTTTACAAGGTATAAAATGCATGATAATCACTAAAGTTGCAAATTTATTGTAAATTAATTTGAAAAAGCCCTAAAAGAAGACATAGAGTTAGAGAACACTTCTAAGCCTTTTTCTTCTTGAGAATTTTATCAAGTATTTACCTTTTATCTAAAAAACAGCTATGCACATGGAAATCCTATTTTTACCTTTTCTCTGAATATTGTCATTCAGCTTTTAGAGAGCTGTAAGATTATCTGCTTCAAGCAAGTTGATAACTAGTGGTTGCTTTTCAGAGAAAAGTGGTGTATTTATCAGAATTTTTAAATTGCTGACGAGCTAATGTTCTGAAGAAAATGTCATCATAATTTCTGCTTTTGTTGCCTAGAAGTATTTCTTGCCTTTATGAACATAATACTCTTTTGCCTTCTTTTGTCCCTTTTTTTTGGGATGTGTGTGTGTGTGTGTGTATTTGTTGTGATCTTATATCAATAGTTATTGATTATTGCAGATTAAATAATTGTATTTTGTCAATGGAACATTTGATTACCTTCCAGCTAAATGAAGTTCATCTGCAAAACTATAGTTTTCAATGTTTAATATAGAATATGTTGTGTCTGAAAATAAAAAACAGTATTCAAATTTTTAAAATTTTGAAATCAGTTGGATAATTAACACTGAATAATTTTTGACTTAAGAATGTGTCAACCAGAATCCTAAAATTATTTTTAATTTAACAGCAATATCTGCTAGCTCTCAGTGAAAGTAGATACTTAGCCCTTTCTTAAAATTGATTCTCTTCTCATTAAATGAGTATTTCCCATAGTCTGGAAAATTATATAGATCAACAAGCTCAAAAGAGAAATGGAAGGAGATAGCTTAGAAGAAAAGGCATTTTTGTTACCTAGGAAATGAGTGAGTAAAAGTACTTAGCACAACTCTTATCATGTCAGACATCTAAGGGCTTTTGTGTTTCCTAGATTTTAGTTATGGCAGTAAAGCTAGACTTGAGACAAAGCGGCTTTAATATGAAATTCTTTGAAAAGACAGAGAAATAGTTTGTTTTCTACTTTTCAAGTCAAAGTGTTGCTAGTAGATGATTTCGGACAGAATGCTGTAATAAAAATGTGTACTGCTACTCCTAATAATGATAATTTAACATTAATTCTATTGCTGTTGGTAGCTACTGACATTTTGTTGGAAATTTTTTTCAGTGAAATTTTGCAAGAATGAGACTTGTAGTTAAACTGTTAATTTTTTTTTTTTTTTGGAGAAAGGTAACGGGTGCTGACACGCCTTCTAATGAATTTGTTGTAGAAATCATACTTTGAGATTTTTGTGTGTTAAAATTTTACTGTCTTGGTATTTTTTTCCCCATTATTTCAATATTAGAAACAGCCAACAATTTCTGCTTTTGTTTAACACAGTATTAGGAAGGGTAAGTAGTGATTGTTTCACAAATATATGAGCTTCAATTATATTTTTAATCACATTTTAATTAATGGATCAGTGTTTGTGAATGTGCTGTCTGTTTGATTCATCCAAATTACAGCAGGTTGCTGTTACTAAACTATTCAGATTGGTGACAAATTATGGAACTGTTTTGAAGACTGAACAGTTTTGCATAATTGTTGTTTTTAACTTGTGTTATCTGATGAATGCGTGCTCACCAGATACTGGCCAGATATCTTTCAATTGACTCTATTTTTTTAGACTGTTCATGAACAAAATAAATTATGACCTTGGATTTGTTTTGGATTTTACACAATTTTTGCAGCCCTACTGCTCACCTGTGTTAAAGGCAAGTTTTGCAGGTTTTTTTGGGTTATTTGTTTGTTTTGCTTTGTTTTGT